AAGTTTGACTTCTAAACTTCCTTCGATGAGTAACTAGCAAGAATCTACTGCGTTTTCCACAGGAAAAACACTTTAGGAAACCTGTTTGAAAGGCTGGTCACTGTTCGGTACTTTCAACCTATCCCACCAGTAAGACTATGGGTCAAACCCTGCAATTTTGTGGTGAATATCATTTATGGATGCCTTCCCCCCCACATATTTCAATTTAGTTTATGTTTTGACTCTTTCCCAAACAACATATACACCTCAATCTTCAATCATAATCCCGTTTTCAGGATGGAACATGACAAAAAAAAGTGTTCTACCGCACCAAACTATTGGAACCATTGGGTGTCTCAGCTCAAATCCTCCTTCCCCAATTTTTTGGCGCCTCATCATGCCTCACCATCCCGCAGCACTCTTGGCGCTACCGGAGCTGTGTCATTGGCTCCGGGCGTTGCGCCGTGCAGAACCGAGTGCCATTTGAAGTCATGTCATTCAATGGGTGGGATAAGTGTGTGAAACATATGGGATTCTTGTGGATTCTTAGATGTGATGATGATGATGATGACGATGATGATGATGATGACGATGATGATGATGATGACGACAAAAATGATTAGGATGAAGAATCTAGATCTGAATCAGAATCATCCAAGAATGTGGTAAAGCCGAAGCCATGTCCACCATCCCCAATGACTCACCAGAAATGGCTTGGACTGAAACCATCTACAGATGGTCGTTGTTTATGCCATTGGCTTTGCCACATTAGTGGCCCACGGACCTATACTCTAATATACTCGAATCACCTATTCTGTTAGTTATACGATGTTAATTCAGTAGGGAAGTCCAGTAACATACCAGTAGTACCCGCACGAGGCGGGGCGGAAGTTGCCTTAAAGATATATATAAGACCTTTCTCATCTATAGAACTTGCATGCGCCGTGCGCCAGCCAAGCCCGTGCGTGCGTGCACTCTTCGAAAGTGGTGTCCTGTTTCAAATGTCACATTTCAAGCTCCACTTCGCACTTCACACTCCACACTTCACACTTCACACTGCACTCTTCGCACTCCACACTTCACACTTCACACTGCACTCTTCGCACTCCAAACTTCACACTCCACACTTCACACTTCTCACTTCTCACTTCTCACTCCACACTTCACACTCCACACTTCACACTCCACACTTTACACTCCACGCTTCACACTTCTCGCTGCTTTCTTCAGACTCCACACTTCATACTTCACACTTTACACGTCACAGTCCACACTTCACACTTCTCATTGCTTTCTTCACACTCCACACTTCTTCACTCCACAGAGAAGCTTTTACACACAGCAAGCTTTCACACACAGCAAGCATTTACACACAAAACACTTACACACAGTGCTTTTACACATGGAAAGCGCGTACACACACACACAGAAACTTTTTTTACACAGAGACGCTTTTACACACAGAGAAGCTTTTACACACAGCAACCTTTTACACACAACATCTTTTACACACAGCAAGCTTTCACACACAGCAAGCGTTTAGACACAGAACACTTACACACAGTACTTGCACACAGTGCTTTTACACACACAAACTTTTACACACAGGCATTGCAGCTCCAAAACCGGATCTCGACGCCAAAGCAGAAAAAAGACGATTTTGATGCGCTTTTTAAAAGGATTCTTTAAAGGAAAATTACTAACGCCAAAATTGCGAAAATCTGCTGACAAATTACTATCGCAGCCTTGATGCAGCCACTCCAATACGATTTACAATCTTCAGCTGCAAAAGACAATAGTATTACGCATGCAGCCGCGGCGGCAAGCAACCTTGAGGCAGCCACTCCAATGCGATCTGCAGAGACTGAGTTGCAAATCACAATAGAACTAAACGCAACGGCGTCGGAAATTGCAGCTCCAAAACCGGATCTCGACGCCAAAGCAGAAAAAAGACGATTTTGATGCGCTTTCTAAAAGGATTTTTAAAAGGAAAATTATTAGCGCCAAAATTGAAAAAATCTGCTGACAATTCACTTTCGCAGCCTTGATGCAGCCATTCCAATACGATTTACGATCTTCAGCTGCAAAAGACAATAGTATTACGCATGCAGCCGCAGCACCGAGCAACCTTGACGCAGCCATTCCAATGCGATCTGCAGTTACTCAGTTGCAAAACACAATAGAATTACGCACAATGGCATCGGAAACTGCAGCTCCAAAACCGGATGGATCTCGACGCCAAAACGAAAAAAAGACGATTTTGAAGCACTGTTTAAAAGGAATTTTAAAAGGAAAATTATTAGCGCCAAAATCGAAAAAATCTGCTGACAAATCACTTTCGCAGCCTTGATGCAGCCATTCCAATACGATTTACGATCTTCAGCTGCAAAAGACAATAGTATTACGCATGCAGCTGCGGCACCATGCAACATTCATGCAGCCATTCCAATGCGATCTGCAACCACAGCTTCAAGAAACGCATAGAACTACGCACACAGGAACAACCACTCTTTGCAAAACACATAGGAGGAACAATTCGCGACAGAAACGACCCCAGCCGCACCCGTCGCACAGACGAGGTACCTTTCATCGCCGGCTGCAGCCACTTTACACGGAAAAACACAAGGTTTCGTGCTCCGGCTTCCTCCCCAAAACATAGCCCATGCAACATTCATGCAGCCATTCCAATGCGATCTGCAACCACAGCTTCAGGAAACGCATAGAACTACGCACACAGGAACAACCATTGTTGCAAAACACATAGAAGGAACCAAACGACCGCAGCCGCAACCGCCGCACAGACGAGGTACCTTTCATCGCCGGCTGCAGCCACTTTACACGGAAAAACACAAGGTTTCGTGCTCCGGCTTCCTCCCCACAACATAGCCCATGCAACATTCATGCAGCCATTCCAATGCGATCTGCACCACAGCTTCAAGAAACGCATAGAACTACGCACACAGGAACAAGCACTCTTGCAAAACACATAGGAGGAACAATCGCGTCCGAAACGACCCCAGCCGCACCCGCCGCACAGACGAGGTACCTTTCATCGTCGCTGCAGCCACTTTACACGGAAAAACACAAGGTTTCGTGCTCTGGCTTCCTCCCCACAACAGAGCCCTTGCAACATTCATGCAGCCATTCCAATGCGATCTGCAACCACAGCTTCAAGAAACGCATAGAACTACGCACACACAAGAACAAAGCATTCTTGCAAAACCCATAGGAGGAACCAATCGCGTCCGGAACGACCGCAGCCGCACCCGCCGCACAGACGAGGTACCTTTCATCGTCGCCTGCAGCCACTTTACACGGAAAAATACAAGGTTTCGTGCTCCGGCTTCCTCCCCACAACATTGCCCATGCAACATTCATGCAGCCATTCCAATGCGATCTGCAACCACAGCTTCAAGAAACGCATAGAACTACACACACACGAACAAAGATTCTTGCAAAACCCATAGGAGGAACCAATCGCGTCCGGAACGACCGCAGCCGCACCCGCCGCACAGACGAGGTACCTTTCATCGTCGCCTGCAGCCACTTTACACGGAAAAATACAAGGTTTCGTGCTCCGGCTTCCTCCCCACAACATTGCCCATGCAACATTCATGCAGCCATTCCAATGCGATCTGCAACCACAGCTTCAAGAAACGCATAGAACTACGCACACACGAACAAAGATTCTTGCAAAACCCATAGGAGGAACCAATCGCGTCCGGAACGACCGCAGCCGCACCCGTCGCACACACGAGGTACCTTTCATCGTCGCCTGCAGCCACTTTACACGGAAAAATACAAGGTTTCGCGCTCCGGCTTCCTCCCCACAACATTGCCCATGCAACATTCATGCATCCATTCCAATGCGATCTGCAACCACACTTTCAAGAAACGCATAGAACTACGCACACAGGAACAAAGATTCTTGCAAAACCCATAGGAGGAACCAATCGCGTCCGGAACGACCGCAGCCGCACCCGTCGCACAGACGAGGTACCTTTCATCGTCGCCTGCAGCCACTTTACACGGAAAAACACGAGGTTTCGTGCTCTGGCTTCCTCCCCACAACATAGCCCATGCAACATTGAAGACGCCATTCCAATGCGATCATCATCACCTCCTTTCATCATCACTTCCCTTCGTCACCACTTCCCTTCTCCACCACTTCCCTTCCTCACCACCTCCCTTCTTGACCACTTCCCTTCCTCACCACTTCCCTTCGCCACCACTTTCCTTCCTCACCACTTCCCTTCCTCACCACTTCCCTTCTTGACCACTTCCCTTCCTCACCACTTCCCTTCGCCACCACTTTCCTTCCTCACCACTTCCCTTCGCACCACTCCCCTTCTTCACCACTTCCCTTCTTCACCACTTCCCTTCGTCACCACTTCCCTTCTCCACCACTTCCCTTCCTCACCACTTCCCTTCGTCACCTCTCCCCTTCATCATCACTTCCCTTCTTCACCACTTCCCTTCTTCACCACTTCCCTTGGTCACCACTTCCCTTCCTCACCTTCGTCACCCTTCGTCCCTTACCACTTCCCTCTCCACACTTCCCTTCTCCACCACCTTCTTCACCACTTCCCTTCTTCACCACTTCCCTTCGTCACCACTTCCCTTCTCCTTCTTTCACCACTTCCCTTCGTCACCACTCCCCTTCTTCACCACTTCCCTTCGTCACCACTTCCCTTCTTCACCACTTCCCTTCTTCACCACTTCCCGTCGTCACCACATGTAGTGTAAAGTCTCACACCACCCTTCATCAAGGTCAATTCTTTTCTGATGTATTGTTATGTAGTGTAACGTCTCACACCACCCTTCATCAAGGTCAAGTCTCAATCGCGCACCACCCTTCATCATTTCAAGTCTCAGAATTCTATTTGTCCGTAACACGGAAGTATTGCTTCCCAACTTCCTTTGATTAACCTACTGAGGTAATTATTAGTAATTAGTTATATATATATATTCTGTTAGTTCAGTAAGGTTATTCGAATGCTAATTAGGCCAATAACATAACTGGGGTTTTCACTAAGCCACTGGCAATTCCCGGGATGAGCCACTCACTACTCAGCCATCGTTCTGAAATCTCGGCTCACCTTTCGCGGCCTGGCCGTACCCCAAAATGGTTGGTTTACAATGGAAAATCCCCATCTAAAATGGATGATTTAGGGGTGCCCCGATTTTAGGAAACCTCCAGAACAGTATTTTATCACTGTTCTGAATGGCAGGGATTTACGTTTCTGCCCTTTTTTGGGGGGAGAACTATATGTTACAATCAAAAAAGGAACTGGGAAAATTGCCATCGACGATAGCATCCGGAAATCTTACTGGCTGCTCACATGTCTCACAAGCGGCAAGGGTTCCCTAAAATAAGGGTACCCCTAAATCAGTCATTTTAGATGGGGATTTTCCATTATAAATCATCCATTTTGGATTTTGGGTACCCCCATTTATGGAACCCCCCATATACTCCATAGTTATCTTAAATATACCAAAGGGTATACACTCACTACCATCCTGGTCTACAGCCACATGCTCAGTGATACGGAGAATGAAAAGGAATTGATCGATCTACGTTTTGCATCGGATAAAATTTAGGGGATTTGACCAGCAAACTCCATCCCCACTATCCAGATTCACTCCCTAATGTAGATTTACTCCCTAATCTAATCTGGTTGGTGGTTTCAACCCCTCTGAAAAATATGAGTTCGTCAGTTGGGATTATGAAATTCCCAACTCTTTCTGGAAAGTCATAAAATTCCATGGTTCCAAAACACCAACCAGTAATAGTTGCAGTGTATGAATCTATGAAATGTTATATCATGTTATCCCGATGAGATCATCGAATTTTCCCATCTTTTCAAAATCTCGTTGAAATCACCATGTTGACTGGTTCAATCCCCATAAAGCCATAACAAATCACATTTAAATCCATATACCATCTGGTTATTTAACATAGCCATGGAAAATCACCATTTTATAGCTAGGTAAACCATCTATTTCTATGGGCCAATTTTCATGGCTATGGCTATGTTAAATAACCAGAAGGTAGATCATCATTTTCCCCATATTTTTTGATGTTTTTTGATGGTTCCTGGACCATCTCGGACACCAACAGCAGCCGCAGGTCGCCCCACCTGTCCGACTCGGCGTCGCAGCGCTGGGAGCCCGTCGTTCCTCCAGGGCGGCTGCCTCCTTCTGCGCGCGCAGGTCACGAACCGCCTCCGCCAAGGCCTTCGGGTGTACTTAGATGGGCCATGGGATAAACGCGATTCCTGATTAATAACTGGGGATATAATCCTCTATATCCCAATTAGAATCCATTTACTAACCAGTTAACTAACTCCATGGCCCATCTAAGTAGGTAAAATCCATGAGGAACATTGGAATCTACGGAACGTGTTCACCGGAAATCATAGTTTTTGCCACCAAATTTTGAGGGGTTTCCGGTGAAGCTGTTCCCTTAATCCATTGAGAATGTAGGAATCTTGTTGGTTGAATGGAGGTGCAGTATGAAAATCATATGGGAAATATGGGAAAATTGGAAGATGCTTAAAAAAAAACTGGATATGAAATATGGGAAATAGATGGAAATAGATACATGGGATTGTATATAGCAGGGGTTCTCTAGGAACATGTGGATAAAAAGTGTGATGGATTTCATGTCTGGATTTGACCATCCAAGATTCAGGATTTCATCCTCCAAAATTGGCAGATCACCTGCGTTTCTAAAACGGCTTATGCTGGGCATCAACAACAAACTTGGATGGTAAACATCCAAACATGTGGGGGTAAGATTGTTCAAGCAAGAGAAGATGACCAGCAACTATGGGGCGGGTCAAAAACTTGAGGCCCGGAAAACCAGAGTCCAGCCACCTGACGCAAGGTGTCTCAAGTCTTCCGAATGGCTTCGGTCTTTGAATCGGAGCCCCAACAGAGGGCCAAATCATGGGGTTTCAACCGACCCACCTTTGTGGGGCTATGGCTGGTTTGACCAGTAAAGTTACCATCTGGTTATTTAACCTTGCCATGGAAAAACACCATTTTTAATAGGTATGGCTATGTTAAATAACCCAGAGGGTATTTAAAACCAAGCACCATGGGAATATACATTTGGGGTGTGGGAAATAATGATACATGGGGGGTTTCCATAAATGGGGGCACCCCAAAATAGATTGTTTTTTATAATGGGAATCCCAATATAAAATGGTGGATGATTTAGGGGTACCCCCATGACTTAGGAAACCTCCATATATACAATGCGGATTCAACCACCCCCTCCAGTTAGCAAGGACTTTGCCAAGGGCGCATTAACTACCAACAACGACGTTTATAAGGGCGAATCTTAACCATCTAGTGGGGGCCAGAAGCTTGGCCTTGATTTTCACTTCTGGATGATTAATTCACCAAAAAGTGGCTATGTAACCAGAATTAAAAACTGTTATTGGCAGTTGCCATCCAGTACAAAACTGCCATGCAGATTTTTTAGCCATGGAAAAAAAACGCTCCGTAGGTGCTTCGTTCGCGTTCACCTTTAACCCACACCGACTCGTGAATACTCGACTCTTCCGGGACCCAATTGGCGCCTCAGGATTCACACCCAATTCACACAGACCCACCAGGGCATTCAATGACTCCTGGGATGGGTGTCATTGGATCAGTACTTTCTATGCCGAAATAGGACGATGCTTGTCCCAAGCGACAAAGATATTGGAGATATTTGGGTGTCAACCATCCAAAAGTGCTGGCCGGTTTAACGATCTAGAATCTAGATTCAATGACCAACATGAGGCTACCCTCCACTACCATATATGAGGTTCAAGGGAAGAATAATCTACAAATGGATCTAGATAGGGCTCCCATTGCCACGTTTTATACCAAAGCGTAGTTCATTCCAACCCAAAGAAACCAAAACCCATAAAGTCTCCAAGCTGAAAGTGAGACTTTTTGGGTATGATTCCACTATCTGCGGTCATCCCACGGCTCGTACCTGGTAAGTTTATAGCTTTGTCATGGGGATAACTTAACCAGTCGGCTACTATCTGCGGTTAGGTGGGATGATCCTCCAGTCTCTCCCAGTACCATCCAGTTGTGGGTCAGCACCAGGCGCCCCGATACATCCCAGCACTTCATATTTCACTCATGAATTAAGCTGAAGGTCAGGAGGTAACACATATTCGTAAACTTTTCCACTTTTCTGTCCATTCACCTCGAGTGTCACCATGCTCACATACAGTGATCTGTCCTGAACAAACAGTGCCATAGGGAGGAATCCATCTGGGCATTTCAAGACTTCTGTGAAAGTTGCGCTGCGTGGGTGGAGGGCCAACACCTTCCTTTGACCAGTGTCGGAAACATAGATTGCTCCACTTTCAGTTACAAACAGGTCCGTTAGGAGAGACCGGCCCTCAGTTTGGATTTGGCCTACCACAACAGGTTCCAACGACTCACCTGGATTGATGCACAAAATGCGGTGGTTTTCATTCAAATTGTCTGAAAGATAGATCACTTCTTCCGTGGTCACAAACACCCTTTTCGTTTCGAACTGCTTGTCTGCTGGAAGATTTTCGGAGGCAATCACCGTCTCTAGGGTGGAGCCCACCAACTTTTGCACTGTTCTGCGCTGGCTCACCACATACAACACTCCGTTGGGCGAGCAAAACAGGGCTCCTATATCAGCGTTGCCGAGAACTACGTCTCCAGAACCATGTTGAAAACGAAGGAGCCTCCGATTCTCCCAATCTGACACGAACATCTCCCCGCTGGGTGAGATGGACAGGAAAACAGCAGATCCCAAATCATTGATTCCCGTCACAGCAGTGCCTTCGCCCGCAACACGTCGCACGCAGCTTGCAGGGTCACCAGGCTTCCACGAAAAGATGCTGCTGTTTCTCCTGAAGCAGTCAGAAGCATGAATCTCACCGTTGTGCCAGTGCATACAGAGAAAGATGTGGGGCAAAGACAGCACTTCTCGCCCGGAAGCTTCGATGCTAGCGGTGCTGGCACCAAAAAATGGTGACCAATGCTGAAAACGACGCCTCTTGGACTGAAAGGTACCTGGACTTTGGTTTCTTTTCCGGGAAGTCAAAGCTTCGTCAACTCCCCGCTGCAGGGCGTCACCATTCCGACCGGGCAGAGCTGCACGGCCGAGGCGAAGCAAATTCTCAGTCGACAGTGCTTGGAAATGCACATGTTGCAACAAGATACCCAAAAATGTATATCTTTCCGGGCAGATTTTGAGCCAAGCAAAAATGGCGTTCACCACTGTTTCTTCGCGACACACAGCCAGATCTTCCCTCTTCAAAATTCGAGCGAACTGACTCTCACTAAGCTTGAGAAAATCTGCATGCTGGCTACAAGTCTCAAAATCCTCTGCCACTTTATCTTCGCAGGCAGCTCTTAAAGAAACAAGGCCGTGTTCTTCTTGTAAAACTTGCAGGGCAACTCTGCTGTCCAAGGAGGTGCGGATGCCTGTCTCAATCGCACCTGCTAACTTTGGCAAGTGGTAAGGGCCCTCTGCAAGCCGTAGGAGTTCAAGACCAACCTCCACTGGTACTTCAGGCTGCCCATCATAGATGTAGTCCAGCAATGCAGACACTGCCGCTTTGGATGCACCGATTTCCACCGGCTCCTTTTGTCGCACCCTGTCTGCCTCAAGGAACGATCCGCTCAGCATTTTCTGGAAATAAACGCTGGCAGCAAATAGCACAGCCGTGTGGGCGTGATGCTCTGTGCCATCAAGGCTCTTCAGCACCACATCGCAGAATTGGTCGTTTATCCAGAATTGTCGCAACTGCTGCATGACGCAGGCCCGATGCTGCGCCGGATCTGAGTGTTCGAGCTTGATAGTTCCCATGGCAGCAGCTCACCAAATGGCTGTGGAACAGCCAACTGGTTTCACGTTGCAGTGGTTGGTCAAGAATATCAGACATGTATCCGCATACATGAAACACATTCATATACAGGGTACAAATATGGAATTTTCAGGTCGATCCATGTCTAGTTCTACCCTTATGAAATCAGCATTTTTCTTGGCCTTGTATCCCCACCCCCATATCCTGGCTGTGGTGATTCATGCTGTTGGACTGAGGTCCATTTTTGGGCTGAGATGGCGGTGAAGATTTCGGTCAAAATGGGTCAATGGATTTCCTGTGTCAGCAATCTTCCCTGGTCACGAGGATGCAACAACCACTCCGGATTCTCCTTTCTGGTTGTTTCAGAGGACGGCATTCCCATGGCCCATTATCCATCGCTGGTCCCAGGTTCTCCGACCTGAAAACTAAACCATCACTGGTTGGTGGTATACCTATCCCTCTGAAAAATATTAGAGCTCGTCAGTTGGGATGATTATCCCCAATGGAAAGTGATAAAAACCCATGGTTCCAAGCCACCAACCAGATACACATTCTGTCGCTGTTAAACAAAGCCGTTAAACAAAGCCGTGACTGGCTCAATTCCAAAGGATGATCCATTTATCATGATAATTACCACATTTCTGGACCCAAGCCACATCCATCTGGGCAAATCGTCCAAGTTCCATCCTAAGCCTTCATGGGCGTGTGGGTCGCCCTCGTGGGTTTTGATAAAGGTCATGCCAGGCCCATGCCGCCAAAATCAACCCTACAAGCCTCCAAACACACAAAATGTAAATCATGCGTAAATCATTGTCACAATGATGGAGACACGCTTTTCACGGCTTTTTCTAGGGACCAAAGTTGAAAAACAAAACGCACCATGTGTCCAGCACCCATCCCTGCCGCGTCCTTGCTCAAGCCGGTTTTCAAGATGCTGGAGATCTCGAAAAAAATGTCCAGCGCCTGCCACAAAAACGTGCGCGTTTGGAGGTGATGAGATTCGACCTTGGTTGTCGGAATGCCATCGCAATCTGTATTGATCCAGATTTGGGATATTCTGAAAGCGTTGTGGTGGTGTGTTGACCCAGCTGCAGGTACTTCTCATGCTGACATTAGGATTAGAAAACCACTCAAGGCTGACATTAGGATTAGAAAACCACTCATGTTTTCAAACTGACTGTTCATGACTGTTCACTTTTTGGATTAACGTGTAGTACTTGAACAGAAACCCTGAACATAGCATTTCCTCCTGTATCCATATGGCACAACTACAGGAAGGGCCCCAGAATTGTGGAGAACAATCTCATTACGGCCTGCCAACCTTTGACTTAGGATTGCCCAAACTTACAGTAAACCCCTTATAGCTGGCATCTTTCATCATGGTTCATCTTTGCCATCTCGGATTTTGCTTTTAATGCACTTTCCGCACAAAATTGCAATGAAAATCAGCCACGAAGCTACCAAACCAATCGTTGACCCATACGACATGAAGCCCCTCACCATGGAACAGATACTTCAGATGCATCATCTCAAAAACCCCTTCCTTCTAATATTGAACATCTAGCACCAGCAACCCTGGTTGAGTACTTGTGCATGGGCCATGAAATTGTACAAATGGTCAGTAACCCTCTATAACTGGGTAAAATTCAATGTTTCCAACTTCCAACTAGCTATACCTTATAGTGACTATAAATCTATAACTCCATGGCCCATCTAAGTAGTGGACCTTTTCATTTCGGTTCATTGCTCTGTCAAAAAGTGGCTTTTTTCTGTGGACCCACAAAATGTCAAGAATTGGAGCTATACCCACGTGAGAGGAAGGAGATTTTCGTTGAACATACTGTGGATGGAAGAAATCCTGCACCAGTTGGCAACTATTGGCAACTATTAAAAAAGTAAATAATGGGATCATAGTGGGACAAGCCATCTATCAACTGATACAGGATTTCTTCCATCCACAGTATCACACGGAGCGGATTGCACCTCTCTCCGGTCTTCTGCTTCTTCTGCCATCGGCGTCCAGGGCGCTTTCGTCCGCTGGTTTGGAGCCCCAGGTTCGGTTCTGTGAGGTACCCCTCCCGTGCACATGTCCAAAAGTGAGGGATACCCATGAAATCGCCATTTCACTGGAAACGAAACGATGACAAACCATGGGATTTCGGGATAGCCTGTTCTTGGATACAAACACCATATGAATTTTCAGGACTGGCTGGAGAACCAGTCGTTTACTAATCAAGATCATGGCTTATCTTAGGCACCTATGAAAATGGCCGGTTCCGAGTATACCTCTCCACTTCCAGCAAGAGATGAGAGTCCATCCAGCGTTGACTCTGCAGATGACAACATCACCAACCTTGTAAGCATGTTGAAGCTCCCAGATTTGACTGTCACTTCGAGCCAGGGCGGTTGGAACCACCTACTTCCCATGGCAATGGCAACATCCGTAGTGAGTGGTGCCCTAGTCTTCAACGAAGTTGACATCTACATAACTAACCGGGTGGGCGTCTGATGGGTATAACAGGGAGATTCATGGCTCTGGAGGGTTTCTGGTATATAAATGAATGGGATGAGTTGCTAAACCAACTTATCACCAGGAGGTCCCACCTTGTAGATGTTGCCACACTTCGCAATTCGTACGTTTAGTGTTTGTGGATCATATGTAAACCATGAAAGGACTGGGATGTATTGGGATGTCCTCTTCGAGTTACTAGCCACAATTGCTGATTCTGGCAACATCTGTGATCATTGCAACAAACATATGACTGGATGCATTGTAGTTCACCAACCTGAACTACTTTCATTTAGTATGTGTTTTTGCTATTGATCCTATTGAATGTTGATTCCATCTTTTGTAGGAACCGCAACACGTTGTACCTTTTTTGGAGTTGCTAAGACATCGGGGTGAAGTTGCTACAGCTGGTGTATATCTTGCCCAAACGGCTTTAGGAATTCAAACCCTGATTGACCAATCGATCCTCACGTTAAATGGCGAATCTGAGATACCCATTGAAATTTGAAATTAAAAAGATATGGCTAATACCCAAAATATGTTGCCAATCGAAGTAGATGTTTATCTGAACATCCAAACACTTAGCCAATCACAAGTTAATCCTCATGTGTTTGTAGCTCTTCAGCAAATATCCCCAGCTAAATCGCAAAACAACTAAGATACAAATACCCACATTGAAATCGCAAAAAGATTGACATATCAAAGTATCCATCCAAGATTGTGTCTGAATTTGGGTACCTGGTATTTGTCAAACCCATCAAACCCATCTGGTACTTTGTACCCACCTGGTTTTGGGTACCGGCCATTCACCAAAACCCACCTGGTTAAATCCCCAAGGTCGACCCAAATGGATGAAAAATCCATAAAAATCCCATCATCTGCGACCCGTTTGAAGTCACCAACGGGATGTCGGGTCATCAGAGGGACGGGATCCACCACATCTTTGATTGTTTATTTTTTGATTGAATATCCGCAGCTCCTTATTTTTGTTGGTGAAATTTGGCATAAATCCCCTATTTTGGGTTGGCTAAATCACGTCTTAGTGGTTTGTTGATCCCGTGCCAAAGCACTCGCCCAGTTGGCAACTCGCCCTTGGCCACCGTTTTGCTGCTTTGAAACGCTCGCCATCGCTTGGTGAAACGCCATGGCGCTCGCTAGCTGTGCTGGATGTCCCCGGCTGATCTATAGTGTGTTTCCAACCCCAATTAGTTCTGACAGTTGGCCACATGAAAAGACTAGTTGTGATGGTTGCACTGGCAGCTATAATGGGATTTGGATTGGTATGAATCATATCCAATCTTAGACACCTCTTATGTTGATGTGCTGGGAGGTGTATGTGTCTTATATCAACTTATATCCGATCATAAAGGCCAAATGCAGAAAGTCCTATAAACTATAAACTATAATATCAACAAATAAATGCACAGCATAGATACGCTGACATACCCCCATTGCATATCGACTTAACCGCATCAAAGCATCCCAAAGCATCCCAAAGCATCCATTGACTTGGGTTACAGCTTCTTTAAGATAGCATATGTATATCTAACTAGGGTCACACGTGTGGTACCTATGAACCCACAAATGTCTGGCCAATATATACTTTACTTCTTGTTGGCATTTGTTGGCCATGTTTGCCTATGCTGGGGGATTGGGAACCCTTCGGGTGGTTTTTCTCAAAAACAATCCACTGGGAAATCATTGTCCCTTTCAAAATTACCACTATTCAGTGGGTACCTACCATATAATCCCCCGTGGTACCGCTCAAAAGGGTCTAGTCCTGGAAAAAAATACCTTAAATTGTTTGGTCCACAACCTTTTGGAATTGATTTCCAAAGGGTACAACCCAACAGATTTAAGCCAACAACCAAGTTGCAATTTCCCGGGCAAACAAATTAAAATCCTGTTCCACAACCTTTATTTGGACTAACATGTCTCCTGGCCCACCATTGCGCTGACACAGCTCTTTTCCTGGGTCATAACCTTTATGATGATACATGTGTACCTACCCCATTCAGATCGTCAAGTCGATTGAATTGGAAGATCACGACCTTTCAAAAACTGCTGAGGGTTTGGCATAAACACTTTTCTTGTCATATAATTCAAATCCTGGGTCACAGGGTTTCCACCGGCTCCATCACTTTTTTGCTCGCATGCTGTAAAGATCTTTCAAGACGGGGAGATGGATGACACTAGGCTTTGGAGGTCCAGAACTGTTTCTCTCTCTCTCTCTGTTGGAAATGACCAGAAATGATGTGTCCTCTCTACATGATTGTTGATCCCCGTCGGTACAAAAACGTGGGGTACAGTCCTAGAAAAAAAATCGGTCTAAAATGATGACCCCTAACCTTTGAGAGAGGTTTTAGAGCTTTAAATTCCTGGCTCCTAACCTCTGAAGCCGAAATCTCACTTCCAACCACCTTTTTGAATTTTCTTTGCTAATTTCGTGGTGCCCAACGTCCAACATCCAATAAATTTACCCCTCTCATATCCAAGTAAAAAAAAAATTTCCTGGATGCTTGCGTTGGTAACATGCCATATCTTCCCCCCCTCAATCTGATACGGAAAAAAATGAATTCCTGGCACCTGACTTCCCGGCTGACAGCTCGCAGTTTTTCAGAGTCCACGGCTTCACGAGTGCGGTCCGGCAGATGCCCACGGCAATGCACAACCCTTTTGCATGGACAAATGTATCTTCAGGAAAAAACGCCTGTTTTGCAATTTGGCCACACGTTGGAACAAAATTCTTCAATTCGTCCCATCATTTCCTATCTATGGATGGTTGACCTGGTGATGCGATTTTTTTCCTGTGGGGTCAGCCTTTGAAGATCATCCACAAGAATTCGGCCAAAAAAAGGTCCAGCCCCTTGGACTTTATTTTTGACACCTGCGCCTCGGCCTCTTCAAGTCACCTTTTTTTGGTTGGTGAAGCTGAAGATATGTGGTTGTACCCTTTTGCAAGGACAAATGCATTTTCAGCAAAAAACATATGTGTTGTAATTTGCGCGCGCGTTGACACAAAATTCTTGAATTCGTCCCATCATGTCCTATCTGTGGATGATTGGCCTGGTGATGCGACTTTTTTCCTGTGGGGCCAACCTTTGAAGATCATCCGCAAGTATTCAGTCAAAAAAGGTCCAGCCCCTTGAATTTTATTTTTGACACGTGCGCCTCGGCCTCTTGAAGTCACCTTTTTTGGTTGGTGAAGCTGAACATATGTGGTTGTACCCCTTTTGCAAGGACAAATGTCTTTTCAGAAAAAAAACGCCTGTTTTGCAATTTGGGCGCGTTGACACAAAATTCTTGAATTCGTCCCATCATGTCCTATCTGTGGATGATTGGCCTGGAGATGGGATTTTTTTCCTGTGGGGTCAGCCTTTGAAGATTATCCCGCAAGTATTCAGTCAAAAAAAGGTCCAGCCCCTTGGATTTTATTTTTGACACCTGCGCCTCGGCCTCTTCAAGTCACTTTTTTGGTTGGTGAAGCTGAACATGTGTGTCTGTACCCTTTTGCAAGGACAACTGTATTTTCAGCAAAAAAACATGTGTTTTGCAAATTGGGCGCGCGTTGACACAAAATTCTTGAATTCGTCCCATCATGTCCTATCTGTGGATGATTGGCCTGGTGATGCGACTTTTTTCCTGTGGGGCCAACCTTTGAAGATCATCCGCAAGTATTCAGTCAAAAAAGGTCCAGCCCCTTGGATTTTATTTTTGACCCGTGCGCCTTGGCCTCTTGAAGTCACTTTTTTTGGTTGGTGAAGGTGAACATATGTGTTTGTACCCTTTTGCAAAGTCATGTAAAGAATCATACCCCCTCAAGTAATCATGGTACATTTTTTCCTGGGGTTTGACATTTAGATGTGTTCTAGTAAACTCCCATTTGATCCATCCACCTTCAAATTCCTGGCTACTAACCTTGGGAATTCTACAAACTTACCCATTATCAGAGCCATTCATGATTGATTTCCTGATGCCTTGCATACACAGACTGATAGATCAACCCCCTCAATCACAACAGACAGAAATTGATTTCCTGCCACTGTACGTCAGGAAGCTTTCAGGAAAAAAAAACTGGGCCTTTTTTGGTATGATATTTGATTCCTGGCCCCGTATCATGCCCCTGGACCCTCACCCACTGTCTGCTAGATTTTTGGAAAATAGTGTTTTTTACAAAGCGTACTGAACCCCCAGGAAAAAAAAACTGGTAGTACAGAGGAGGATATTGTTGAAGAAAACCATACGGAGTTCATAACTGTTCAAAATTAAAATCCAGTGAAGCTATCGGATTCAACCTTTTTACAAACCACTGAAATGCATTAAAAAGTATGATCACAACCTTTATGTAGATCCTACCCTCTCCTGTTCGACAGATTGGCCCAGAGATTTTTTTCCTGTACCCCAACCTTGTTTGGAAAACCATGCAATCCTGGCAAGCAAATCTTCGAAACATATAAAATCCTGTGGTACAACCTTATGTTACTAATCCTGCTTTCCTGGCTCCAACATTTGTTTTCCTGAACCCCAACCTTGCGACATCCATTTTTTGATGATTTTTACCTGACTTGGCATTTTTATTCGCCGAAGTGGAGTCACAGGAAAAAAAATTACCGGTACAACGGGGGATCCATATATAAGGCCATATAAGGCCTATGTAAAGGGATATCCCCACAAAATATATCAAAATATGGCCTTACTTATATGGTACCAGTACAATACCTCCATGTTAGGATCCTGAAATTCCCATTGAACTATGGATATTTTGCCCCATGTTAATGTTGGGACAAGCCCACTGAAATTCAACTGCCGGTACATGTTCCAGCAAGATCCGAACAACTACAACATGTGGAAGAGCAAGGGATGCATCTAAGAATCTATCAATAATTTACAATCATCTCCAAGTAGAGTATGAGATTGCAAGCAAAATCCCATGTCATTTCATCAGTTGAAGAGTTTTGGAAGTTTCCATCTCCGGGAAGACTATACTTAGTAAATCTTAGTAGCATTGCGGCATTGCATCTCGCGCATCACGAAGGCCCACGCAGTTCATGCAATGATTCGGGTGTCGATGGGTCCTGCACTGGGATGGGACTGTGCAACTGCCCACGGTCCAAAAAATGCGGCGAGGCGATTGGGTGTTGACCATCCCGTGGGGGGTTACCCTGTAAATTTTCACAGCTTGACGCTGAAAACTCGCCAATTTTGAGCAGAAACTAATCTTCCAACCCCGAAAAATGCCAGGGTCGAACTGTTAATTTACTGGACTGAAAAATGAAGTTTTTTACTCACCAAAATTTGAGGGATGCCCTGTCATGAATCATCTGTAAGCGGATCTAGAGGGTGGACTGCCAATTGCCACAATATGCATTTACCAAAGGGCAGTTCATACAAACTTGACAAGAACCAGAACCCATGAAATATTGTATGTATATATATATATACATAATCATAATAATAATAATGATGATATATATATATATGATATATATATATATACGATATGATATCACATATATATATATAGATAAATATATATATATATGATATCACACACATATATACCTAGACCCTCGAAACCCTGGAAAATTGTTGGTTATGTTCTGATAACCTGGTTATTCAAAGGATGTGATGGAAAAACCTGGTTTCTTCTAAAATACCTCGGTTCTTCCATAGTCTTCCTGTTTTATCCTGTTTTCACATGTTTATCAGATATCACATGGGGAAGCCTTTCCAATTGCATCTTCTTTGAGCTGATGGAACATGGTTTGTTTTGTATCAACTGAAGATATATACCCCTTTATAGATAATCCCCGCGCTGCAGGTGCGCAAATCATCTTGGATCCAGGGCTATCCAGGGTCTTGGCAACATGCGTGAACAATAAAGGGATGATCAAATGAACCCAAGAAAAATCGGTAGATCATCAATGTGGAAATATCAAGGCCTCTTGTTATTTCTCTGATTGGATGCACTGTGGACTTGAGCAACGCCTTCCAAGGAACATCATCTCTAGGGTGAAGTCTCATGGGTTACACCAATTGCTTGGTAAATTGTTTTTATCCAACATATCAACATATCCTCAAAGAATCAAATGAAATATCATTATCGTTTTGGATATTTAGGGGCTCGAGGCACATATATATAATATGGATGCAGCACATCAGCAGCATCTCCCACTTGCGCATATCCACAGCGGATCGCTGCAATGGTGGAGCTTGCTGGCCACTCTTGAGGCCTGCATGAGTCCTGCGGTGATCATGGTCTGCAGAATGGTCAAGTTGTGGCACTGAAGGATCATCACATATTTTTTTCAGGGTGTCAATGGTCTAGCTATATATTTTTTATTGTGGAAAAGTTTTCAAAGAAAACTCATAGAAATTTATGCAGCTTGCATTTGAGGCAGCCGTGACATAGACTTGGCACGTGAAACAATTTGTTGGCCCCAAAGCAATTTTCATTTTGCTCAAGGGCCTCGAAAAAAAAATGCCCAAAAGAGGAAAAGATGGCCGCCCAGGTGGCCAGTTGGACATTGAAGGGGTCCTGGATGAATGGGACTCAACCCAAGCTATCCGTGACCGGTTGCGGCAAGGTGGCAGACTTGTGGATACAACGGATTGCACAGTGAAAACGTGTGGTCAATATTCCGAAGTCTTGGGACCAATTATCCTTCGCATGGCCGGAGGCCCCAACAAGGTTCCTGATGTGAGTCCCCTCAGGGAGGAAATTTCCAATTTGTATGTCAAGAACAAACAGGACAAGTCCGTGGAACATGAAGATGTGATTGAAGAGAGTATGATTATCCGAAAAATGTGTGGGTTCGTGAAGATGAAGGTGAGAAGGGAAGAAGTTTCTGTAGTTGGTTGGCTGCATTGTTTGACCAGTTGTTGAAAAGTTCAATTGTTTCCATTTGTTTCCCTTTTTCTGGATTATCAAGAAAATGATGATTTGTGTGAGATTTTGTTCATTGGAATTCTTCTCGATCTAAGGATCCTGATTTCCAGACCCTTTGCACAACTCTGAACCCTACGATGGAGGACGGACTTGTATTCTACTTTTGCAAGCAAACAGATCTTGTAGAAAATGTTGCAAGTTTTGAACTTTATGTCACTGAAGCCTGCGTGATTCAAAAAATATTGCCCTTTCCTGGAACGTATATAGGCACTCGTCACTGCAGTCAATGCAAAGCGGAAATCCAAAGACTTTGCAGAGGAGTCGGACGAACCACTGCTTAATTAAGAAAGTGTTGCAGTCCTTCAAATGTGAAATGTGACCTCTTTCCAACATGTTCCCATCAACATGCTATCCAACATCTTTTAATTAAATATATAAATATAAGAATTACCATATACCCCATGACTTCCATCTCCACCGCGGCCCAAGGAAGATCCTGACGCCCATGATGGGGAAGACGGTGAAGATGCTCCTGCAGGTGAAGAGGAGTCCGTAGCGGGTGACGAGTATGATGAGGGTGAGCAGGGGGAAGAGGAGGAAGTAGAGGATGATGAGTGTCTTGAGGAAGTCCCCACTGTGAAAAAGGTGATGCCGAGCCAGGATAAGTCCAAAGATGTAGAGATGACTGCTTCCCAAGTTGCCGAGACGACTGAAACAAGCACCAGTGCCCATGAAGTCGCAGTCTCTAAGCCCTCAGACCCAACACTTGAGGGAAACCCTGACCCTTTAGCTTCAGCAGCTACTGAGCCCAAAGGTCAACCAGCTCCACTTACCAACGCTTTGAAGGACAGTGAGACTCCCAGCCAGGTCTTACCAGCGCATCGTGATTCTAAAGTTGCAGGAAACGAAGCCAGTCCTGGATCTGGTTCAATGCCTTTGTCACAGAAGGGATCGGACGCTTTTGCTCCTGTGGGCAGTTTGGCAAAACATATATATATCTGGTGTTCTCCAAGAGTAATCATGACACAAGTGCAGGGCGAACATATATCCATATATAGTTCCATGCCGTTTCAATTTGAAATACATAATGTTTTCTCCAAAGCATTGGGCATTATGCGTAAAACTAATGCCTGCGGTGCTCCGCCGCATAAGGTACCAAAAAAGCGGAACTTCTTGCTCAACAGGAGGAACTCAAGCGAAAGTTGGCCAAGTCGCTTGCCCAAAAAATTGTGGGATTCTGGGTGGGTTTCTGTGAAGATTTAGATCGTTTCAATTTCTCATGCTTTGACTAACATTGCACTTATCACTTCAAACAAGTTTGGCCTATATAGCCCATTTTCATGGCTTGCCTCTAGGAGACGAGAGTTGACGAATCAACTTTATCTTCCACCAGTGCCAGCCTTTGCCCCCTCGTCGAAGGAGACGGAGGCAAAACCCAAAGGCCATCCCAGGAAACTGTCATTTGGTTTTGGCAAGATTGGAAAATATATTGGCAAGAATGTGGCAATATAATTAATGTTTGGCTTATACAATGATGATAGCATCTGTGATCTTAATTGTTTACATGGAGACCCTGTTGCAATTTGAAATGCCGGGTTTGTATACATTTCCTGCCATACGCAGGTGCTGTTCTCGTTTTGGAATCTCAACCCTTTGCGCCAGAGAATGCTGACACCCTACCTGTCAACATCTTGGAGCTCCCCTCCCCTCCACCGTCGAGATCACCAACATCCCCTTCCCCGTCCTTGACCAGCGAGCAGCAACGGGCTGCATACCAGGGACCGGGAAAGTTGCCTCCCACAGTGACGCTTTCGGAAGGGGGTAAGAGTGAACCTGATGATGAAGAAGCCACCCCAAGTGAGGAGGCTCCCTCTATCTTTTGGTGTACTTGTCATTGAAAAAAATGTGAAGAAAGTCATCCACAAATCAATCCCAATTTTATCTAATATATATATATATAGCAATCTATTCAATCCCAATTCTCCAGGTTGTGTCCAGTCAAACCTATTGCCTATTGTACTTCTTTTTACGATATATATGTTTGTCTTTCGGCCAGGTCTTTCCGGATGGTGTGGCTCCCATTGAAAAGCAAGATCAGCTCAATCTTGGTGGCGACACCACAGGCCGCGGCAGAGGTCGCGGACGGGGAAGAGGACGTGGGAAAGGACGTGGGAAAGGGAAAGGATCAAAAGGTGGGAACAAGAAAGAACAAAAGGCAGACAATGAAAAGGAACCAAGGAAGGTTCGTAACAGTAGAAAGCCAAAGGATGGACAGGTTAAGCCAGACAAGCCCAAGGGCAAAAGCAAAGGTAGAAAGAAGGAGATGAGATCCGATGATCATGAAGACAAAGAGGAAGACCAAGGTGACCAAAGAGATGTCGCAATGAAGGAAAATGAGCCCGTAGCTGCCCCTGAAAATGCAGAGGAAGGAATCAATGAAACACCACCAAAACCGAAGGCAATTGTGAGGGCAAAGTCCACGGCAATGCTGACGGCTGCAAAGTCAAAGGCTTCAAAGAAAAGAGCAGAGTCAAGTTGTTGGCAATGGCAACCGGAGGACAGCGACAGCAATGCCCCACCTCAGCCGGCCCCAAAGAGAAGAGCAAAGAAGGTACGCAAGATCAGGGAACAGGAACCGGAGGCTAGGGAGCCCACAGTTGAGCCAGCCCCCAAGAGAGAAGCAACAGCAAAAGCGAAGGCAGCAGCAGCAGCACCGCAGGCAAGCATTCCTCAAGGCTTCGAAGCTCCAAGCTTTGATCACCAGGTCCAAGTCAAGGAGATTATGGAGTTTGCCAAAAAACTTGAAGAGTTAGACCCTGCGGATAGTAAAACCAGAGAAACGATCAGGGGAGAGTTGATGAAGTTTCCAAACTGCAAGTTGAATATCTACTGGACACGTCCTGCTTGTGGTCTTGGGTTGAAGAAGGGTCAAGACTTTGGATACTACGGCTTCGTGTCCGACACATGTTGGGCGCAGCGTATCGCAGTATGTTGCAAAGCTTGCGAGATTCTCGCAACTTGACTGCGCACCAATTCAAACATCAAAGTGGTGTTAATGCGCATTCCAGTCAGAAAGCACATCGTCATGAACAAAGAACCGTGTGTACCCGGTTTTTTAGAGTATATAATTAAGATCTATACTCAAGCCCGCTGCCCAGGGACGCCTTCTTGAGAAGAAGTTCAGTGACAACGAACTCAAGGTCGAGCCTAACGCGATCCGCAACTGCTCTGACATTCAGCAAATGAAAGAAGCCCTGCAAGCCAGTGGGCTACAGGCTCTTGAAAATTTGAAGGGTCGTTAGGCTTGGAGGCCATATTTTGACTTTCTCATATATGCCTTGAAAGCTTGGAACATGTGCGACCAGAGTGGCTCACTCTGATTGGGGATGCACGTGAAAGATCTGCAGGGCACTTTGGAAAGGGCCAGGTTCACCTTAAACTTTAAAATGTTTGTCGAAACAATTTGACTTTAATTGAATTTCAAATCCTTGATTTCAAACGGTAAAAGTGATGAAACAAACTTGGAAAATAGTCTTGTGATGTTTTGTGGATCTGGGGCCCGCCCGCATATTGGACGCAAGATTTTGGAACAAGATCTGCCAATCTGACAGCACTGGCCTAGATCGCACGCCATCTCATATATATGACACTATATTATACATATATATATATATACCTATATAGTTTATAATATATTGTCAAAGTCTGTCTACTATATATCAAGTTGATTTTGAATGTTGTGCGCCAGCCTTTGCTGCCTTCCTGATGCGAGTCTAGATGTGTTCGCTCCAATCTGACTTCTTTGGCATGGGAAAAAACACTTGGGTGGATTGCCCCAGGGTCTTTTAAGACTAAAGTTGTGGGAGCCCTGAACTCATGAGCCAAGCCAAACCTTAATGCCAAGTTGTGGATCAGGATTCAACATCTCGATCATTATATGTTTGCAGTTTCTTCGTCTTTCTTCACTTGTTCCCAATAAACCATTGATCCCCAACCATCCCAGCTCCACTTCCGGTCAGGTGTGCGATGCCTCCAAAATGGAAGGTTCGATCGCTCCTGCGCAGATCCAAGAGTCATCCCGTGCATGTTTTTTTTTCCGGGTGAGGGTCACTTCGATAGGATCCCACATTTGCCAATGAGGTGACACATAAGTAAAAAGGAATAAAAGAACTGTCCCCAATATACTTGGAAATTGAAATTCGTTGAAGAGGAACTTTGCCATCATGGATTGACCCGCTCCATCAGAAAGCTGTTGGGATCTAGAATCCAGAGAAGCATGCAGCACTGGCATCCATTGATGGAAAACTAGACTGGAATCAAAAGTGAACCATTTCAATATGAATTTTGTTTGGTTTGCGTCGGCCATATCATTTACAAACCTGAGCTCAAATCTACCATTGTAGCCATGGGGATTGACCTTGATGCTTTGGTCTGGCGGCTCTGCAGCTTTGGTTGCCCCAAGGAGTTGGACGGTATGGATCACATGGGGATCAAATTGTATATATATATATAACACGATGGCTCAACGCAGTCAACACCATGACCTGAAATCATATTCCTTTTTAAGATATCCTTTTAAGAATATTGGATCCCAAGACTCAAAACCATATAAGATATTATATCATATCATATATATATATAAACATAAATTCGACTCTCTGTATATATCTTGAGCCTTGGGAACAGCCACAGCCGCAGGAATTTGTGGCCATTGTCTTGCTGACTGTTTTCACCTTCAAGCAGTTCAACCAGGCCACATATAGTTGGCGGGTTGGCTCAGCCCAGCGGAGTTTCTTATGTTGTCTCCCAAGTTTTTGCCATGCGAAAGTTTGCTGTGTTGTTTGTGGATTTCTTAGACCATGACCCCTGAAGGATTTCCAATTCTTAGAATTCTTTGCTGGCCGTGGGAATTTGACAATGTTTATGAAAGCTAGCGGATTCAAAAGTGCTCGATTTGACATTGACGACTCCACCAAAAAGCATCACCGCCGAAGCAACTTCATGGACATCTTATCTCCAAGTGGGTTTTGGATCCTGAACTGAACACCTATATGGTTTGGCTATTTCTTTTCCCCCTAAAATATATATGTCTCGATCTGAATATTCGTGGGTGTCCTGATTTGAAACCTCTTCGGGTCAACTAAGCCTGGCCATTCATTCTATTTTATGTGGCGCACCCAATGACTTCTTGGCCTGGTTCGGAATAAAGTGCAGTAGCTTCTCCAAGATGAACATCGGCACATCAATGAGGAGCCCTTTCGCAAGCATCGGATGTTATGACCATCCGAGCGTAAAGATGGCCAATGGGATGCTGGAAAGGACCCTTCCTAAACATATCCCAAAATGAAGGTGGACGAAACCAAGGGGATTATATGCAATTTCCAACTGGTGTATATATAATTGGGGTATATATATATATATATTATATTATTATTATATTATTATATATATATACATGTTTTGGGTCCTTGTTTTGTTTGGTTAATTTTGGGAACCATCTCTATACCATCTGAACCCTTTTGAACTGAACAAACATGCTGCCCTTCAAGGACTGTCCTTTTGATCTTATTGGTGACAATACTTGGGGGAGCATGGGCATTGGAACAGCCATCTGGATCGTTGCTCGAGTTCTATCCGGCTTTTCGACATATGCTGGCTGCAATCTTTAAGTGGGGAGGAGACTGTGCTGTTGGAGTCTTAGATCAACCAATGTTTGTATTGCAAAACTGCTGACATATATACATTTGTGAAGGGAGTAATCAGGGATATAGATTTATTTTCCGAGCCCCCAAGGTCACCAAAGTAAGCTGGTGGATGGCTCACTACAAGGCACCTACACAAAAGCGGCATTGGTGCTACGCCAATACACCTTTGATCATGAAACTGGATCAGGGTAAACTCTCAGGGTTTACATCAAGAGTCCAAACAGCAAAGCGTTGGAAGGATCGCAACGGGAAATACCACTACCAGGGGACATCAGCACTTCGGGGCACACAGAACCTATAGATGATTTGGATATTTTTTCCCTTTTCAATGGACTTCCAAATCAAGTTTTCCACAATTTTCCATAATTACCACCAATTGAATGGTTCAGTGGATTGTTTGTTTGGCAAAAATGAGGTTCATAAGGTTTTACTCTGCGACCCGTGCGGCTCAGGACATATCCCATGGCCTTTGCTCGACGAGTTGGTGACATTGTGGAGGGCCTCAAAGAATCAAAGCGGGGGCAACCTCCAATCCCTCAACATTTACCACCAGCCACGGAGACATTTTCTAAAATGAAATGGGGCTCGACTGGTTTGTTTGGTTTCGCCGACCTATCAAATATCTACACATATTTGCGATTCGGAAAGGATCTTCAAATTCCACCCGAATGGGATGGAATGTTCCCAAAGCGACTTTTCTAGCTATGACTGGTCGAATTTACCCGAGTGCACAACACATTTTTTCGACATTGGATTCATTTTTTGAATCTTTAGTGATTTTGGGCTCGGAAAAAGTAGGTTCTTTGGGAAAATGTAGGTTGAACCCGTATTTGTCCCGTAAAGAACCCATATTTATCCCATAACAACCCGTATTGTACCCCTATATGAGAATAACCTACTTTTTCCGCAACCCGTATTTATCCCGTAAAGAACCCATATTTATCCCATCATAACCCATAAAATTTTATGGGTTCTATATAGGAAAAAATAGGTTCCAACAAGATTACCAAAATGCAACTTTTTGATGATTTTTGGGGCACGCGGGTGACCAAGTGTTTGCCACGCAGACACCATGTTTGCGCAATTCAACAAACGTGTGGATTGGTACACACGGGACGGTGTTCAAAAGAATGGAAAAAGACCGAATCATTCTACAGCTCTGCTTAAATTAAGTTTGCGAGTTTTACCTTCGCCCTGTTTTGTTGGAACTTGACCATGTATACACAATTGAATGGCCTTTAGTGTTTCGTATCAAAACTGGCCTTGAAGCCCAGGGTTTCACTGGCAAAATGTCTTCCAGAGACACGTGTGACATGACCACTAAGCAATGGAGTACCGCCACTCTAAACGATGGAGTTGCCCATGTACAGAAGATTGCTAAGCAAGAGCTTGAAGAATCAGAATCGGATTTGGAGCGTCAGCTAGAGGACTGTTATCTGTGTCGAAAAAAACAAATGTTGAATTTGGGGATTTATATACCGATTGCAATTTACAACTTGGGCCTACAAACCGTACCATCCCTGAGGAGCTTCAACGCCAAATAGATTGTTGCCCAGATCAGGATGTCACTTGGATGGGTAAGACTCAGTTTGGGGGGTTGCCAAACACTTTCCAAACCATTTGAGATTAAAATTGTTTATATTTCAACAACAATGCCTTTTCTATACTTCTATAATACATCTTTCCATCCAACCCACTGAGGCCGTGCCTCCTGCGAAGATGCCGGAAAGTTCAGGGTCGCCTCGGGACATCTCAAACCAGGATACTTTGGAAGTTACTTACCCTTTGAGACTTATATATATATATATATGTATATATTCCGGAATATGTTCTTAAACTGTTTGAATGTTTGCTTAAACTTTTCAAGCCTCTATATATATATATGTGATTATATACGCACATGTAAGGCTACTCCGGGCGAGATTGCTGCCAATCTTGGATTGCCTGAGAATGACATCGCTATCAAGTTGAAAACCATTGTGGTTGAGAAGTTTGATCCTTTGGTACAGTACTTCAAGTCAGGTGATGGAGAAGCGGATGTGAAGCAAGTAGCTTGTCTTAATGTATATATATATATATAGTATATATATATAATATATATATATTTATTTATTTATTTAAAACGGGGCCAAGCTCTTTTTCCTCCCATGTGGTTGCAGCATAACAAGGAATAGCAACCTCTTTCCAAGGCATTTCGCACGATCATGGAGGCAGCGGTGGAGACAAAGGATGAGAAATTGCTTCAGCACACCCTGATGGCAGCAGAACAAGTGGCAGCAGCGCAGAGTTCAGCAGCTCCCGTTGCAACCCCTGTCCGTAAGCGCCCAGAGGATGAAACTTCTGGAGTGGCACCGCCCCCTTCCAAATGCCATCGGGTTGAAAGTAAGGAGGATCCACCCACGGCATCCTCTTCGCTTGTGGCTGCAGACCCGCCCAAAGATTCTAAGGTCACCATTCGGGTAGATAGTCAGGAATCACAAATGGGGAATGCAGAACCACATCAACCTGCAGGTGAAGGCAAACCTAATCCTGATGAGTCAAAGGCACCAAGTGCACCACCAGCCCCAAAGAAGAATGCAAACAAGATCGGTCGTCAG